GGGAAGGAGCTTTCAGACACACAAACTATGCTTATTAAACACGCTCGGAATGTAAACATCGCAGTGTCAATAGTAATATTCTGGCAACAATTATTTGGAGTGAAGGAATTCTAACGCGGTTTCGGTGTCTGGAACTTTGGGATTTGGGGCTTAATTCGACTTAGTGAGATTAGTTAGGTATTCCCAAATCTTTAGGGAAATAAAGTGATATTAATATCGGAATAAATGTGTATTTTATTTGTATATATGTTGGTAGGTAAAGGTTTACATTTTGTGTTGGAGAGGAAATAGTTATACTAAACTAATCTATGTTTACTTATAAAGAAAACTTTATCTCACGACTTCATAAGTTTAGATTTTTGTTTGTTTGTTTATTTCGTCTCATTATGCATTTTTATTGACATTAAAGCTTGTGTAATGAATGTATTCAAATTATAGAGAAAAATAACATGTAAATTTTGTTTAATGGTATACTTTTTTAAATGGTTACACTTCATGGCTACGTTGTATTAGGGATTTGCTTAGTGTATCTTAGTAACGACGTAAAAACTGAAATTCTTTCATAATTATAATTAGAAAATCTCAAGGACACTACTTGTGAATTAAGAAAAAAACACGTGGAAAGCGTTTAAACCCTTCTCCGCCACAAGCCCGAAAAGTAAGATTTCGTCTTTCGCAAGAAATTCTCGAAGTTGAAATCGCAGTTGTTGCATTCCCCCAAAGTGTTTCACCAAAGAGCCGCTTAAAAGCGATCTCATTTCCTCAATATAACGGCTAAATAATAGTTGGAAAGTCCGGATTACATTCCGCAGTGGAATGTGAACTTCAATCGTCGCGTTCTCTCGGTTTGTGCATTCCGTTGGAAAATTGATGGACTAAATATAGTTTAAAAGCGGGCTATTTCGTTGCATTGTGGAGTTTGGTATCGGTTTAACGCAGAAATAGCATCGTTGTTGGTTAACGAGTCTTGTCAACGTTCGTTTGGATATTTATGAAGCCTACATCAGGCTTCATATATTCATTTCGTAATTTGGTCCTGTCTTTGGTGCTAATACAAAATAAATATTTCTTTGTTACACATTTTTCGATAAAATTATAATCGTATTTGTATCTTTATGGCCGCGACTTTACGTGTGAGCCATTCGAGTGGTTCTCATAGTAAATAAATTAGTGGCAGTAATATATTATCGTAGCCAATAAATGGTTGATTCGCCCTCATTTTTGATAAAATAAAAGGAACATTTATTTAGCGATTTATCGTCCAACTGTCTTATTGCGGCTTATTTTATTATTTGTAAATATTATTCAAAAGTGAGACTAATTTAAAACGAAACACTTGGGAGACGTATGAGTTACTAGGCATCTTAGCGCTGAATTCTTATCGGTAACTGTCGCCTAGACGAAAATCAAATCAAGAAAAGTAAGTAAATCTTTGAGTTACAACCCTAAATCCAAATAATCGTAACGAATTCTGTAAGTTTGATAAGAAACTCTATGTCTTTCTCTAGTTTTTGCCAAGTTGTCTTTAAGAAATGACAATGTGTTGCAATTGTTTCACTATACGTTGCTTCGGATGTGTTGAAAGTTTCCAGAAAATAAGGATCTAGACCTAGGCTTATTATATTCGCCAAGCCCAAGGTTTGAGGTTAAGTGGTTACAATCTCAGGTGTGTTAGCGTCCACTTGCAAGAAGGCACGTTTCTGCGCTAAGATGGGGTAAAGTAGACACTTCATAGGACTTTGTACCTTTCATCATCGTTGAGAGCCTGGTGTAATGGTGTTTTAAGGATAGACTCACTCCTTCACCTCGCTCAACTTGTCTTACTATTGTGGTGTTGAGATATTCAAGAAACGTTTTTAAATCTTTGAAAGCAAGTTTAACACAGTCTAGAAAACGAGACGGGTTGAAGACCTCCAATTCGTCTTATAATTATGTGCATACTACACATGCTACAAATTGTTTTACTAACCACGATCGACTTACAGCAAATAACATGTGTCACCAGCCTAATTCTCAGTATCTGTTAATAAATATTCTCCGCTCTTCACATAAGCCGTAGTTTAATTTAAATATTATAACGAGCTACGTAGCGATCTATGGAGAAAAGTTCACGAGTACACCTGAAAAGCTCTCAAAGATTACCTCGCCGAAGTTATCCCGGTAAACGAGACGGGAGATATGAAAATGTTTGTAACATTAACGGCAAATAACTGCAATATTATTTTAAAATGTATGTTTACCTACGTTGTAAAAATTTGTTGCCTAGCTTTGCTTTTAGCACCAAGTCTTGGATTTGAATTACGGGAAAACGATTTTTTCGGTCTTGCACGACACAGAAGATTTTCTGTTGTGCGTTAATAAAATTTTCACAGTAAAACGGGCACAGAAATTTGTTCGCCCCATGCCCTATAAAGGGAAATGGGATTTCGCATTTTTTCCCTAACAAACTAGATTACTATTCTCTTAATAAAGCTGACTCATTGAAGTCGGGGCTTCATTCGGATCCCGGGGTTATCACGGAACAAAGTTATTACGTTCCGTGAGATTGCATTACATATGCACGAGATCTGTTTAGCCGATTTGTTCTGATTAATGGACCACGTCACAAGAGGTGGTTAATGGTCGGAAGTCCGTCATTGCACCTCTTATCTTGGGATATGCAGGAAATATGGGAATACGGGGACTTTGGGAGACGTGAATTCGGAATACTGTCGTCTATGTCAGCTTCAAGGTATTGTGAAGATGAATTACGCCTGAACATGAAATACGATTGTAAAATTTTCACTGAAATGTTTTAGTTTCACTAAAAACCAACATGAATAAAATCTATCCGTGAAATTGTGTCCCACATAAGGTGCAGAGTACTATCATATTTATCTATACCTGTATACAAAAACGTCATTTAACTATATATTCAAAAATCACATGGAAAAATATTATTCGTGATATAGAAAAAATACTTTTGTGCGTCTGTTTTTCTCAATCGTAGAAATGTAACAGTCGAAAGTCTTACCACGTAGACTAAGCTGGGAAGGCCAGTTACTAATCAAGTAATAAAGCATGTGCATAAAGAATAAAGCATATGTCATAACAATGTAACGCACAAATTTCCTTAATTTAATAAGAACTTTGACTTAAGTTAAAGACTGGGAGGCAGTTTGTTCACATAATTTACAGAGATTTTTACGCTCACCCTGGCTCCACGTTTCCAGCCACTTTGTAACTAGTTTTAGTTGCGGAAGTTATTAAAAGACATCGGAATTACTGGAACGGTGGTTTAATTAAAAGCTTGTCAAATCTGGCATGAGAAGCGGCGCGCTCTCGAAAAACGGCCAAAAAACGAGATTCGACCAGCGCTTGGCAAGTCGGAGGATGCCGAACTACCTTCGTTAGCGTAAGTGATTAACTGTGAATGAAAGCCTACTTGTGCACACCTTGCACGATTCTGTGCCAAATCGCGTCTTAGTGTTGAACAATTAAATCTGAACAGAAAGTGGTCACTTATATAAGACTAGCTGTGGCAGCGACTTGTCCGCGTAGAATTGTTATTTCAGGCTTCCAAATTAATTTGTGCAAACCTCCTCTTCATCTTTATAAATATAAGCTGTTACTCACGACGTCGGTTGCGTCCCGGATATAGTGTCCCAGATTTTTTTTTTATTCCATTTAAAGTGGAATCATTCTTTCATATATATTTTTTGGATAACTTGAATTGTTTTCGGAGCGTATGCTTTACTTACAAAGATGAACAATTTTCCCCGTTTTTTTCTACATTTACCGTTGTTTCTTCGCCACTATTAGTCACAGCGTGATATTTTATAGCCTTAGCCCTCCTCGATAAATTTTCTATCTACTACAAAAAAAAATCTAAGTAGGTATTTCTGAGATTAAGGCGTTCAAAAAACAAACTTTATAACTTAATATTTAGGTGACACACACGTCGAACTCTAACAGTCGTTGGTCCCATAGTAGCAATGTAAGGTTAATATTCAAAGAATTGTGGTTTCAATTTCCACCGAATCCAACATGTTTGTGAAAAAACAAAATACATGGAAAATAACGTCCAGATTTTGGGTAGAATGGGTAGTAGACAACATACCTACGTGCACAGTGCATCTTGTTAGATGTTGTTTCGTCTTTCATGACGTGTCATATATTTGAATAATGAAGATGTTGACATGAGAGTCATTCTCGCGGTTCGCCCGTGGTTCGAGTCCCATCCGTGTAAAATATTAAACTTTAAACATAGTAACGTGTAACTCCGAATAGTAATAATAGTAGAGAATCCGCGACGCTTTGTCTCGGCCTAGTTGCAAATTCCTTTGTTGCTTCGAGTGCTTTTCACCTGAGCGTTTTGCTCCTTGCGAATTTTTAGATGGACGGGCCTTTCTGCGAATGAATTCATCTTTCAGGTCTGGAACTGAGCGCCCTGAATTCGGCCACTATTGTGCTGTAATGTGCTTCGAGTTCTGTAAAATCTATCTTCTAAAAATGTTTGTATACAGCTAAAGACAAGCTGATCTTTTTGGGCTTCTCGAGTGAATAAATATACAGCGCCTACTCTAACCGTATAGTAATCATTGTTGTCTGGAAGAGAACGCTTGTTAAGCGACAAGAGCATTCATTACAACCCATTCTAATAATTGTTCGTTTTAATAATGTTCTTATCGAATCCTGTGTACCTACTTATTGCAGGATTTGATTTGGTCTCTTCTTTTTTGGATAAACAGTTATTTCTCTTTCTGATTTCTATAATGTAATATACCATTGATTTTGATAAATACATACCTGATAGTAGGGAAGCAATAACCTTGAATTTGTTAACCTTAAATCACTTTACTTCTTTCGGCTATGTGTTATCCCCCTAGCGTCCATTGTGTTATTGGTAGATTATAATCATTTTAATTTCCTTGTTCCAGGCGTTTGAGAAATGAGACGCAAACGAACGCATACGCCGGGCGCTGCGTGATCGCTCCCAGTAGGCCACGTCCCTCGCCAAGATGCGTTCCCTCCTCCTCTGTCTCCTCTCCGTGACCCTCCACAGGAATTTCGCGTTCGTCCTAGACAAACAGAACTCTTACTCGCAGTTCCGCAAGTGGAACGTCGCGCTCAATGGTACACTCGAACTCGAGTTCAAAACGGACCAGCCTAATGGGCTACTATTGTACACGGACGATGGTGGCACTTATGACTTTTTCGAGTTGAAGCTAGTGAATGGTGCGTTACGGTTGCGGTACAATCTGGGTGGGGGAGCGCAGATCATCACTGTGGGAAGCAACCTCAACGACGGCCACTGGCACAAAGTTCAAGTGAGTGTTTTAAAAAACATCTGCTCTTTCGATATACCTGATATATAACCGGCTGTTGCTGGTTTGAATACCATAAATTGATAGATTAAATTTACATTTAATATTTAAGTGTTCTTCGCTCTTTATTGGAGGAACATAACAATAACATTTGATTTTGAACTAGATATTAAGAAGCATATCTATTACTTTAGTAGATAAGTAATTAAAAAAACATGTTTATAGGGTTATGAACTGTTGGATAAAATTTCAGGGTTTTTAGTATAGTTGGACAAAATAATATATATATGCAATCTTTAGTCTTTGGTTGATAAACCACTAACTAATTTTATGCTTCGTTAATAGCCCGTATCTTCTATCGCAAGCGTCTTTACTTTTGTTCGGAATAGTCTCGTAGTACTAAAGCTTGGTCCGTTCGCCAACTACTGGTTAACTCGTTCGTACGATAAACCTTAATTCGTATTCCGAAGTTTATAATGGTTTTGTCCGAACTTGCTCGCCGGCGGTTTGGCCAAGGGAGCTCTGTATTTTGAATTCCTAACAACAGATCTTACTTAGTTCCGATTAGTAGTGTGTTGTGTATCACTGTGCTATTACCAAGTTCAGGGGGCAATCCTCAACTATGCGATATGGGATCTGATGCCAACATAAGTCGCATACTATTTTAGACTGGCTGTGCTGGCGACTGCTTCCGCGAGGAGTCGTTATTTAGGGCATCAAAGTTTATTTTTGCTAACCCCTTCCTCATCTTTATCAATTATAGATGTTATTACGTCGGTTACCTCCCGTCGTTCTTGCAAGTTAATCCTAAAAAAACATATATACTGTTGCGGACATTTTTTAAGATAATTTAAAGAGGCATTATTCTATCATACATATTTTTTGAACCGTTTTAGCAGTGAACGCAACAAAAGCAGAAGATAATTAATTTATTCCATTTTTTCCACATTACCCCTGTATCACCGGTTCTATTGATCACAGTGTTATGTTATAGCCTAAAGCCTTCCTCGATAAGTCAATTCGAAGTAGTAGTTCCGGAAAGTAACGCGTTCAATCAAACATAGTATTCAACTTTATAATATCAGTACCTATAAATTATAACAATAGCGACTTAGTTGACACATTTTTAAGAACTGTTATTTTCTGGCAATATCACGGGTTTTTTTCATCTCCTAAAACCAAGGTTAGTTCAGTGAACCACGGTCTCTAAGATATTTCTAACAACAGGTCGCCCGTCGCGACGAGCACACTTCCCTCGCAGTGGATGGAACAACGCAGAGTAAGACATCCAGAGGAAAAGAGTTCCTATTTGGAAAGTTCACCACCAACTCCGATGTATTTGTCGGAGGGATACCATCCTCGTAAGTACTTTATTTTTTATTTTAGTCATTATCCTGGGGAATATTTACATTAAACTTTTAAAAGAACTAAAATTAAAAATAACGTAGGTAGTGCAAAATGTAGCAACTGGTTCGAGAATTTAATGACAGGCTTTGTAACAATTTCTAACAATTCTCACAATGTACCATTCGCTGGTAATGTATCACCAGGTGACGATATTGCTTAAAGTAGCAGTCGTAGTCCGAAGAAGAGGTACAGTACTGTATATTGTTGTACCTACTTAGGCTTGTAACTTGGCGTTTTACATAATCTATGGATTTATTTCTGACATATTAAGTTATAGTGCGATACGAGTTATGTAATTACCCTAAATGTCTTACTTTTTGCATTGTGATATTCTAGCACAAAAATAATGAGAGCAAGTTGTTTTATTAATATAGTTACACATCTTAGAGCATCAGTGTAATATTTTTATTTAACTAGAAATGTTCAAACTTTGCATAATTTTCAAGATTTAATGTAAACTAGAGTAAAAGTTTAGATTATCATTGAGAGAAGTTACTTAAAGAAATAACTAAGAAACTTGCTGGAATATGTAACATAAAAAGAAATTCACTTGTTTGTATTTCGCGTAAAGCGAGGTTATTTATTCGAAGTTGTACAGCTAAATAAAAAGTAAGTTCTCAATTAAACTTTAGTAAAAGTGGTAACCCTGACTTCTATAATTTTTACTTTTTTCATGTTTTATTTTACCACCGATTTTACTATGTGTACTCGTCTTTAGAGTGAGAAGGTATTTATTTAGACTCCAATAAAATTGGTTTCTTAATTTGGAAAGTAGAAACAAAAAACATACACAGAATACTTATACCGATCTTCGAATTAAAAGCTATTCATAAAATAAAATATTTTTTGCTATTATAAATTCGAATAGCGAGATACGATGTACTTTATTATTTTTTTGAGAATTTTCTCCATTGATCTGATTACCATCATTATCAAGACACCTAACACTGACTGCTTTCTTTATTTGTATACAAAAGAGCTCGTGGGTAGACAGTATCGATCAGGTCATTAGCGATCGTCTGTATAGTCTGATCTCCTTTATACGATTTGTAAGACTTCTCAAAAGAATCCTATCAGGTACTACGAGAATAGGCCTGAGGCACTGGAGCCAATACAAGGGGGCTTAATTACGAATTATTGTGTACGAAAAAAAATTCAGTTTCTTAATTGTTCTGTAGCTAGCATTTTTGTTTTACGCAAGCCAATTAATAAGAAATCAAGTTTTAATTTTAAAAAAATAACCAACGAAATATCTAAACATCTAACGTGCACATTGTTTAAATCATACGGCTTTAGACACACGAGAGCATTGTTTGTTTGTTATGTTAGAAACACAATCTAAATATGGTGGCCAGAATATAGTAGTCTCATCAAATTTTACCTTTTTAATACCAACATACATACATATTGCTACTATTACTAGATACTACTCGCGTAAACTACAGACAGTATTTAAAACAAAGATATCAATATTCAAACACCAGGCCCTACGCAATCTCGTGAAATGCTAAATATAATTATATTTTCCTAGTTCTAAATGAATTAGGTGATGGTTTATCTTGGCCTTGCTCGTGTCAATTAGGAGTTGGATGTCCAGTTGACTCCTGATGACTGTATTACGCCAGACGCCATCTGTTCTTAATTAGAGTAAAGTTGTATTGCATGTTTTTATTGTGAAGTAGAGAATATACAGTTGTTCGTCAGTAGAGTTTGTGTTACTTCAAATATCCTTAACTGAATTAAAGCGATGAATAAAAATAATCAATTTCGCTAACACAGCGATAATATTGTTTGTTTTCTAGCTTAAGCTCAGGTCGTAAAAATAATATACTAATAGGACCTACTTACATTTATAGATTTGTCTATAGCTACGATCAATTGGAAGGTATTGGGTTGCCCTTTTTAAGGCATTGTTTTGTTACCGTGTTAAAAATATATTTTTTAGTTAAATATTGTCTCCCCGTGACCACGGCTCATGCAAAGTATCCGAAACATCGTCCTAGTTTAAAATAAATTCTAAATAAGGTTTTTTTATACTGTCTGTAATTAATTTTTGCGTTTTAAAACTTTAAAATGTTTTATTCAAATGTACTACTCGCGGAAACTACGGGCAGTATTTAAAAGATTAAGCCAATTTCGTCCCTATCACTTCTGCTATAACAGTGGAAAACTCCAGGAATTAATTAATTAATTTTTTTTGTCGAAACACTGAGATAAATTACTCCGAAGTGTCCTCTAAATTTAATCTCTTACTATTATTAATTAAAAAGTAACTATAACCCAATTTCCAGTTTTCCTTAAACATATTTCACTGTATACAACGAGTTTGCATTATGTAGTTAAGACTAAACTAGCCCGTATTATACTAAATTTGAATATACGTACACATACTAGTAGGTATTAAACTCAAATGGTCTGTTAGTTGGCCTATTTTCATTTATAACGAAGATCTGTTGTAGCATTCACTTTAATTAAAGTGCTCACAATCTTTAGGTATTTTGTGTCTAATTTAAATTTTATCTTTACATAGCCATAATACATTATTGCGTTGAAATTTTAAATAATTAGACTTTTAAAAGGTTGGCATATCTATTTCAGTCTGACTTAGTTACCGTTTATAAAAGTTTCTGTTATAATGCTAAGTTTTACGTAATTGCGTTGGAAAGAACTAGAATACATAAATCTTCTTAGTAAGTGGGTAATAAACATTTTAAATAAAAGTGCAAATTATGATTATTTATATTATGCACCTATTTTACATTTAACATAAAAAATTTATTTACGGTTGAAGTGCATTCCGTGCCCTTGAACAACTAATGTAACTACATGCGAGCCATTTCGGATACATTAATTGAATTGAATAGAATTATGTTTTTGTATATTGTTAGAATTCTTGTCATTTTATCAATGATAGAGGTCATACAAGCATGGGGTTTACTTGATGGGAAGTAAAATTCCCCAGTCATCTACTCAAGATGTGCTGTCGACCTATTTTAGCTTTGGATATTCGGAAATCCACAGACTGAAACTTCACGGGTTTTTTTTATATGTGGACAGTGATTCGTGACCAAAGCGGCATTTTGATATTCCTACCTCCGATTTAATATCTAGATTTCCAGACAAAGTCAAACGTATTACAGAAAAATTCTAAATTAGAAACATCCAACACACGACCCGATGATTATTAGCCATACAGTGCTACCATTAGACCAACGAGTCCGACAAAACATTATATAATACTAGCTACACGGACCCATAATAAACCTTTCCAATTCGAATATATTCATGATACCAAAAGCGAAGGCTCCTGTATCAACTTAACGTTATCCAAATCGGATATTCCCGAGCGAAGACAATGTAGTGAGGTAACTAATACGTTCCTCCGAGGGCAATATACCTCACTGTCCTCGGAATATCAATGTCTACGTGCCTGGCATGCTCGACCCGATCATTACGACGCTGTCTCCTCGCGCTATGATTGGAAACGAAACTTTCCATATAAGTCGCTTTGGTGAACTTTCAAAGTATGCTTAACTTTGATTTTAAAACTCATTATTTAGCGGTCGAGGCTACATTAATTTATGTGATTTATGTAATATCGACAAGTATGATAATCAATCTTTTCTTCGTTACTCAAAAGTCACGTTTATTGAAATTAAAAAAAATACATAAGCTGTTTCTACAAGTAGCTTTAAAATAGTTATTGTTATGTGGCTGCTTTAGTAATTTTATAAATATTAAGTGTAAATTTGTAGGTATTTGTCAGTTATTTTCAATAATTACTCGTTCTATGAAGTCCGCGTCTGATTTATGTTTTGTTTGTTATAACATAGGATTATATTTTGTTATAAATAGTTGATGAAAATTTTGTTTGAATTTGAAAATAAGGTACAATTTTATTCGTTGTGAATTTATTATATTTATTGTTTTATATTTATGAACAATGCCAAACCATATTTCATAAGTATTTTCAGTTAAAAGCAAATCACAATAGCTTCTAACGGGCGACTTTAAAAGGCATAATATTGGATACAAATAGCTGTTAAATACAGGTTGACAAAGGCCAAACATTAAAAAATGTAACGGCGTAGCACTCGCTACGCTACACGTAGACTCTGCTACGTGTAGCATGCAATCGTCTACGATTTATAATTCCCACTTTTACTTTTTCGACGTGGTGTTAATTCCAAAATTTTGTAGAATATTTGTTTATGTTGTCTATGTTGGTTTTAGCATACATTGATAATTATCATAGTATAAGTTGATCGTGTTCTTGGCCCGCTGTTAGCATTGTACGCGTTATAATTAACGGGTCGTGGCTTCAATTTCCACCGCATCGAACATGCTTTAAAAATTAAATTTATAATGTGAAAATAGGTTGGCAACGCTTTTTGCTCAGGTAACTTCTAAGTAGCTGTGATATGTCACCTTCCAACAAGTAAACCCTGTACTTTTTGTCTTTTATTAACATTATTTATCAAAAAATAAATTGTAGCCATGTTTGTTGTAAACCTCTCATGTTTCATAGGGTTTTCAGTCACTATTTTAATTTTATTATTAAAATATTAGGCATTATTACAACAAGAACATATGCTACTATTAATTTATTTAAAAGTCACTTATTGTTCTAAGAAACATTTCGCCCGCAATGGTTCATCGCGCAATTTATCTTCTTTACTTTAAAAATAGAACTTTTTCCAGTTTCTCGTGTGCCAGAACTAGTTAGCTCTAAGTTTGCGAAACAATCACATATAATATCGACCACAGTGTGTGTCTGACCCACATTCGTCTTCGACACGATAAAACGGATAACGGCGAAAGTTTTTATTATCCACTGTTTCTTATGAGAGAAAGATAAAATTTGTTACCTTTTCTTAGGATTTAAACGGTAGGTTTTAGTTTTATGTTGCTTATTGACAAGACTAAAAAATAGAGGTAGCAGCTAGTGGTATTTTCTA